CTCTGCAGTTTTTCTTCCCAACTAGTATGTGATATAGAAGAGAGAGAGAGAGAGAGAGAGAGAGAGAGAGAGAGAGAGAGAGAGAGAGAGAGAGAGATTGATTTATTGATTCACGGATTCATGCTTTGCATTGGAACTAAAATAATCTAGATCTGTGAATGCAGTCCTGAGAAATTTACTGCATATTTGCCCTGCTCGCATCTGCAAAATTCATACTTATTCTTGCATGCGGTATTGTTTGTTCCCAGGCGGAAGCTTGAAAAATGCCATATCTGAGAACACGGAGTCTGGTAATCATTTCTCAGAGCTGAAACTCAAGGACATCCTTCTGCAACTCGCCTTAGGGCTGAAGTACATCCACAAGTGTAACTTGGTACACATGGACCTCAAGCCTAGTCAGTGTGGTTCTTTCTATGCCTCCTGCCACATTCTGTTCTCATCAAAATCTCTACCTGTGTATTTACCAAGTGTCCAAGATGGTGTGTTCTGGTCCCTGTTTGTTTGTTTTCTTTTTGAGACAGGGTCTGGCTGTACAGTTCAGGCTGGACTTAAGCTCACTTTGTAGCCCAGGCTGGGCTGAAACTCTCAGTGATCCTCCTGCCTCAGCCTCCCAAGTGCTGGGATTACAGGCATGCGTCACCGTGTCTGGCATCTGGACCCTTCTATTTGTTTCTCCTGAAAAATTTTGGTTGCATTTCTTTAACCATTTACCCCTTGAGCCTGGTGGATAGAAAGGAAAAGACTTTTGTTTCAAGCAATGGGAAAATACAAAAGTAGATATTTAATTTAGTACATAAATGGCAGTAAATTGGCTGTGTTTGATTACTGAACTAGCATACATTTTCTAATTCAGCATTAATCTAAGTGATGCCTTTAATCCCTTCTAATGCAGCAGTAATCACTAGTCAGTATGAAACCTAAGCATGTTGTTAGTATTGTGTTCTATTTTGAGACCACAGTACTTTGTCACCAGTCTATGCAGAATATATGAGGTCGTCAATATATCAGTCGGCATGATGAATGACTTAGTGTTGCAATGTAACATGAGATTTCGTAGGGAAAGAAAGGCTTCATGGTCTTGCTAACATGACATAGAAGAATAAGGGAGAAAAGAAAAATCCAGAAAAAGAATCTTTGCAGTGAAGAAGTGTAGGAAACATTATGTCTTTCTTCAGGTAACATCTTCATTTATCATAACCTCATATGTGATTCTCCTGGAGTCCCAGAAGAGAGTGAAAATGAAGCTGACTGGTTTCTCTTTGCCAGGGTCATATATAAAATTGGTGAGTCTTCCTTGGTCATGCTAGTACATGCTTATCCTATGCAGCTTGGATCGATGACTCCCAGCTGTAGGAGACATACTTTGAAAGGACTCAACTTCTTTTCTCTTTTCAGGTGACCTGAGCCTTGTGACATCAATAAAAAAACCAGAAGTGAAAGAAGGAGATATTCGTTTCCTAGCTAATGAGATTTTTCGAGAGGTATGGATAGGAAAATTGAGAACTTTTTCTGTTTCTGTCTCTGTCTTTCTGTCTCTGTCTGTCTCTCTGTCTCTGTTTGCCTCTCTGTCTCTGTCACTTTCCTTCTCTGTTACTCTCCGTCTGTCTGTCTCTGTCTCTCTGTCTCTGTCTGTCTGTCTCTGCCTCTGTCACTTTCCTTCTCTGTTACTCTCCGTCTCTCTGTCTGTCTCTGTCTCTCTCTTTCTCTGTCTCTGTCTGTCTGTGTCTGTCTCTGTCTGCCTGTCTGTCTGCCTGCCTGCCTCTCTGCCTGTCTCTCTCTCCCTCTGTGTTTGTCTCTGTCTCCCTCTCTGTCACTCCGTCACTTTCCATCTCTGTGTTACTCTCCGTCTCTGTCTGTCTGTCCATTTGTCTGCCTCTGCCTCTATCTGTCTGTCTCGCGCTCTCTCCATTTATTTATTCATGATGTGGTCTTGCTACGTTATCCAGGTTAGATTTGAACTTGTGATCCTTCTCAGCCTCCTGCCTGGGGGGGGGCACTACAATCCCAATGAACTTTTTGACCCTAAAACAAAGGCTCACAGTGCAAACAATTTGTCTAATTATAATGTAAATGTACAGTATCTCTTTTCCCATTCAGAACAGAGGCCAAATATAGGAGACACTCATCCAAAAAGCACGGGAAAGCCGGCTCAGTCAAGAATGAATGAATATTCATCCCGTTTTCCTCTTTTCTCTACAGATCCTCCATTGTTTCCATTTCTTAGAATTCCTAACCTCATGAGTTGTCTATTTGGAAGGCAGTCTCCCCTCAGTTCTGACATAGGTCCTGCTCATCTTTATTGTGCTACTATCTTTTGGACAATACCACCAACTCTGGCACTACAGTGATCTTTAGTCACTGCCCATCTTCTAAGATGTTTGTCTGGTCTGCCCAAGGGAGACTATAACTATAACTTCTTCCTGGGTGATAATCAGAAGAAAAATGAGTTTTTCCCATTTCTGATCAACTAATGTGTGTGTCAAACCTCCTTGAGTCTGACAAAGTGAAACAGAACTAAAATTCTACTTCTGATTTTTCAGGTATAGCAGATTTAATAAGGTATATTTACATTTCCTCTATCTTCTTAAAACAAACCATTAACAGTAATAGGTATAATTTGACTCATAATGTTTAAAGCTTTCATGTATTCAGATGACCCTCTTCTAATGCCAGTTATTTGACTCAAATTGCGCTTGGCAAACTCCCTGGCCTCTCCTCTCTTTTGCAGAATTATCAACACCTTCCCAAAGTTGACATATTTGCCCTAGGGTTAGTGATTGCAATGGCAGCAGGGGTGGAGACTCTACCCAGCTTCGGTGATCAGTGGGAATCCATCCGTAAAGGTGTCTTCCCGGATGTTCCTCAGAAGCTCACAGAAGATTTTCACAACTTGCTCAAGGTACCATAGAGATGAACAGAAGATAAAATACCAGTTT